ATGCTACGTATTTTTTATGTTTCACCTACAAAAAAGGTAAATCTAAATATTTACTTATACAAGTCACCTAATACAAAAATAACAAATATTTCAATATCACGAACAATATATCTAATTAACTTTAATTACTTAATATTTTATTCTTTAGCTGGCATCACTGTCTACTAATTCCAGGTTTAAAAAACCTTTTAAAAAAATGTTAGCTGTCACGTCGCGTCTGTCACATTGATTGATTTTCATTCGACTTCTTTGAATGCTCGAATGCGCATGTGTTCTCGGTGTTTGCTGCTATTTGTTGTTATTATCTTGTTATATTTGTTAAGTTTCTGTTATTCTGTTAAGTTTTTTCTTGTTGACCTTTCGTTTTGTGATCGTTTGTTGATTTTTATAAACGTTATGGAGCCACAACCTGGCCCTTCCCGGGAAGCAGCCCCATCTGACAGAGCACAAGGCTTAGACTTTCTTTCTCCCAGAAAGAAGCGTCCTCGTGGTGCTTTTACGCCCAACGAAAAGACCATAATTCTAAATATTTACAAATATAATATAGAAAATTGGCCGCAAACAACTGATTGGAGTGCAACGGAATGTGCTAAAAAGACTTCTGAGATGACTGGCGTGGGTCTGTCAAGTGTCTATAAAATTACCAAAGAATATAAAGACACAAAAGAATTTCAAAAGCCGAAAAAGAGTGGACCTCAACTATCTTTCATACAAAAATTTGACGAATTCACTTTCGCCGCAACTCGACGAAAGGTTCACGCGTTTTTCTACAGGAACGAGATTCCGACTATTGAAAAGGTAAAGTTATTGCTAATTCTTTAACACCTCGTTGCTGACATCCCCCATTGTTTTAAAACTATACTTTAACCTGTGTTGCCTGTCTACATTTTAACTGTAATGTAAATGCTTATTTCAGATTCACCAAGAGATAACTGGTGATCCAGACATGCCTGTTATGTCGAAATCAACATTAAGAAAAGTATTGAAGCATTTAAATTTTAAATACACAAGTCGCAAACGTCGAAGTGCGCTAACAGATCGCAAGGAGATAGTACTATGGCGTCAAAAATACTTGCACCAAATTAAACAATATAGAAGAGAAGGCAGGCTTATATATTACCAGGATGAAACGTGGGTAAACGAAGGCAAGTATTGAATTATGTGGTAATTAACTTTTTATAACCTATCTTTTCTTCAAAGTATTAGTCGGAAATCGAATTCTGTACTTATGTAATACTTAAATTAACTTTGTTAATAAATTTTTGTTACCAAAATGAATAAATAAATAAAGAAATCCATGTTTACAGGTAATATTTTTCAATTTATATGCATATATAACTGTCCTCATGTATAAGTGAAATATTAAATATATTTTTATTTTCAGGACATACCGTCAATAAAGTGTGGTGTGATACCAACATTCAATCTTCACGACAAGCTTTCCTCGATGGCTTGACAACAGGGCTTAAGGCACCAACAGGCAAAGGGGGGGCGACTTATAGTTAGCCATATAGGGAGCGAAGAAGGATTTTTGGAAGATGGTTTATTAGTTTTTGAGGCAAAAAAAAGGCTTGGCAGATTACCACAAGGAGATGACTGGGGAAGTATTTGAGGAGTGGTTCACAAAAATACTTCCAAAATTAAAACCAAACTCGGTAGTAGTGTTGGATAATGCTCCCTATCATTCGAGGAAGGTCGAAAAAGTACCAACGAGTGCATGGAGAAAAGGCGATATCCAAGCGTGGTTGACTTCAAAAAAATTTAAATTTTGAAGAAAAAATGCTAAAAGTTAATTTATTGGAAATTGTGGGTCAGGAGAAATACAAATATCAACAGTGTATTGTAGACGAGATGGCCACAGCACAAGGCATTACTGTGCTTAGACTGCCCCCATATCATTGTGAGCTCAACCCTATTGAATTGGTGTGGGCTCAAGTGAAGGGGCATGTCGCAAGACACAACAGAAGTTTTAAAATGGCGGAAGTTAAAAAACTATTACTGGAAAGTATAAGTAGTATTACTCCTGATAAATGGCAAGAATGTATCAGCCATACAATCAAAGAAGAAGATAAGATGTGCACTCTCGACGATTTCATTGACACAGTCGCAGACTCTTTAATAATTCATGTCAGCGATGATGACGATGATGAAGATAGTGATATAAGTATTAATGATGACTAAAGATTTTAATAAAAATATGTTATTTTTACTTGTGCATTTTTTACTGTTTGTAATGAAAAGGGACGTAATTATCACTCGCCGTAAAACCATGTAGAGTACCGCACTTAATAAAATGGATACATTTACTAACAAATAAAATGTATGTATAGACTCAGATGTTCAGACACGTATTGAAATTGAAAAATGTGCCCGGCCAAAAAGGTTTGTAATCTCTGACATGTCAAAAAATGATAGCTGTCAGAATTCTACGGAATGAAAAATCAGAGTTTAGGTAAAATGATCAGTAGGTAATATATAGATTGCACTGTTAAATAGGTAAATTATATCGAGAACAATTTTTTTAATTTTGTCATTTATTTTGTATATTACATTTGCTTATTTAATATAATATTACATAATATTATATCACAACTACATTTTAATGATATTTTAATCTCAATATTTTAAAAGTTATCTATCTCAAATATCAAAAAAGCATACTAAATGTATGTTCAACAAAACTTGTTAATATAACATTTAAATTACAAATATATTTATTTAAATTAGAATAAGAGTCGTTTATAAATACTGGGCACGCGAGATTTAATAATTGAGGAATTTATTCCACTTTGACTGATTTGAAAACCTAAAAATAAAATATAAGAATAATTAGCAGATTTAAATATAAAAAATTTGGCCTAATTATGATAACTCATACGTTTCTACAAAAAAATGTGTATAATAATATATTCGTCCTATACTTAAGTACCCACAGAAATGTCGCATCTGAACTAATTAATTTCATAATCTATATTACGTGACACGAGATGGCGTCTTAGGAATAATTTGTTTTATTACTAATTTATAATACTTTTTTATTGATTAAGTATCTTATTAACCAATGAAAAGTAATTTCTTGGTTTTTACTGACATTTCTTGAATTATTTGTGCAATATCTAAGTACGCACGACGCCATATTTTTATCACGAGATTTTTTTTTAAATGAACACAACACGTGTCAACTCTACAAGCGCCTAGCGAGTGACTGATTAAAGTGCGGTGTATGCACCGCAGTTGAGTGGAACATAGTAGCTGAATGCAGTGTCGCCTCTAGTACGTAGTACATAATAGCTAATTGGAAACGCGTTATATTTTAAGCGTTGATGCTGATTGATAGACTTTTTCGGAATACAAGGAATTTGTTTTGCCGTGCAGTGGCGGTCTAAGAATATCTACCACCATCCCGTGGGTGTCGTGAGAGGCGACACAGCGAAATAAATCAGATGAGTAGCAACGTCTTTCTAATTTACTTTGGGGGTTTATTGTGGTTCATTGCGTCTTGTGCAATGAAATCTAAACACTAAGGCTTGGTCACTTGGAAAATTGACGAACAAATAAAGTGCACAGAGGCACGAGTTATCTAGGCAATATTTTATTTGTAAAACAGAGATTTTTTTGAGAAATCGAATTATTGATGTAAAGTATAGTTACTGCCTATATACGTGCCACTGCTGGGTACAGACCTCCGCTCTTTTCTGAGAGGGAAAAATTGATGAAATAAATGGTTTTTCATGAATATCTAAAAATTAAATGACGTCACATGAATAGATCAGGCAAAGCCAGGGCGCTAGTACCTAATAAAGATATAATGAATATATGTTACCATGTATATTATCATCATCATCATCACAGCCTATAAAAGTCCACTGCTGAACATAGGCCTACCCCATAGATTGCCTAATATTGACATTTTGTATTTTGCCATAGTTGCCACGCTTGGCGAGTGGGTTGTCAACCGCAGTTTATTTATTATTTTCAGTTGTTATCAGGAAGATGCCGCAGCCCCTCATCTGTTTCAGTTTCTCTCCGTCGCCTCTTACGACACCCATAGGGCGATATGGGGTAGTGGATTTTTTACACCGCCACTACATTGTTATATTGATACCTACCTCAGATTCTTATCCAAACACTGAAGAAAGAAAAGCTTATTGGTTAAAACAGTTGGTAATTAAAAAGTCGACTTCGTTGACAAGTTTAATAGAAAAAAACCTTTCCCTTCCTCTTCTTGTATTTGCAGATGCAATATAGTATATGAATATTATATAGTCTATGTCAATTCCACAATTAAGACTATATGGATTTTAACATATAACGACACCTTTTATGTTAAATCAGATACAACGTACATAAAGAATGGAATACTGTTCCCATCTCTGGGACTCTTCAGTGCCAGCTCCTTCCACTTGACCGCATCCAGCGCAGAGCGGCTCGAATCGTCGACAACCGAGTGCTTTCCGATCGGCTCGATTCACTGGCGCTGTGAAGAGATGTTGCATCTCTTTGCATTTTCTTTCGCATATACCACGAGGAGTGCTCTGAGAAATTGTTGGGATTAATTCCAGCCGCCAAATTTCATGAACGCACTCCGCGTAGGCAATCCTCCCGATACCATCCACACCATCTGGATGCTTGGCGGTCCACCACTGTACGTTTCACTAGGAGTTTTCTTCCACGTACAACCTCTCTGTGGAATAGTTTACCACCGGCGATTTTTCCGGACCGATACGATCTGGGGACCATCAAGAAAAGAGCTTTCTCACTTCTAAAGGGCCGGCAACGCACCTGCAATTGCCCTGGTGCTGCGGTTGTTCGTAAGCTGCGGTGGTAATTTAACATCAGGTAAATCGTATGCTCGTTTGCCCCCAGTTCTATAAAAAATAGAGATACATTCTGAAAAAAATACCCTCATTCTGGGACAGTCGGGTAAAAAGTAAAGCTAACAAATAAAATGCTAATTCGCTACTGAATCGTCGGACTTGACTTCTTTTTCTCTTCTCCAGCTGTATACAACTACACGAGCAGTTCACCGGCCCACTTGCAGCTGGAAGTGGGCGAGCTGGTGCACCTGCGAAGGGAAACGCGCGATTGGTACTGGGGAACCAGCCTCCGCAGGGATAATAGCGGCGCCTTCCCAAAAAGCTACGTCGTTGTTCGCGACTGCACCGTTGATAGGTAAGTTTTCAAAACACTGTCTCTCATCACTGCGACTTTGGGCATTGGCATTATGGAAAATATCTCGTACGGAGTTACGTTGAACAATATTCCCGCTGGATTTCTTGCTAGTTCTTTTTAGGAGAATAAAAGGCTTATTTTGAAAAAAAAAACTATATACGGATTTTATCGCGTTTAATTAACTTATTTTTATTTCCCGACGTTTCGGGTGCTTTACAGCCATGGAATACTATAATACATACATATTAGAATGGGGCAGTGGGCGGAGCCCGTGTAAGCACTAACATGTCACTTACATGTCAATTCACACCTATAAATGTCAACACTATCGGTCGTAAACAGTTTTCGTGTCAAGCGTCGCTGCAAAAATGGCAAATTGTGCAATACTTACGTGTCTAAAGAACAGTGGGTAATAGAACCAGTGAGTCGAAATTATTTATATTTTGTGAATATCTGAAACAAATATAAAGAAATATTAATGTATCAAAAACATAACATAAACACTCACGCCTGTCACCCTGAGGGGTAGGCAGAGACTACAGACTTCCATTTGGCACGATCCTGACAAACCTCTCTTGCCTCCTTCACATCCATACACCTACGCATACATGCTCGTCAGTTAAGGGTACTCCTAATTTGATAAATTTTCGCCTAGGACGTCCCTTTCCGACTCTGCCATTCACTTCTGTACCATAAATTTTCTTTGTTACTCTTTCCTCATTCATTCTTTTCACATGACCAAACCACCGAAGCTTTTTTTTTTTTTACAAAAACATTAATCAAAAGTCTAAAATGGGTTTGTAGTAGTGATAACTGATAATACGACGTAATTGCTTGTATTTGTGCCCCCGGCGACGCCTATCCTCGTACAAAATAATGTTGATACACATTCTATTATGTATTACAGCATTCTATGTTTACAGCACCCATGGTCACGGGGGAATGTTCGACGTCCCAATGTCATAGTTAGCCCGGCAACCTTCAGTTTTTGAATATTAATTTTTGGTCCGATCTACGCAAAACGGGCTTAAAGTATCTTGAATTCTTGCAGTGGTGTGCTTGGGTTTTGACTAAATCTTGTTAATTATAGGATTCCCAGCAGATGGCAGTACCCATCCATCTTCTCTGTTGAAATCGGGATGTTTTTTTAATGTCAATAGCCTCGTGTGTCATCCTTGGTAGCCATCGGTGTTCGTTTGCGAGTATTTGTGGTTTATCAAATCTGATGTAATGGTGGGGACGATCTTAAACATGTTCACAGACTGCAGACTTCCCGGAACGTCGGTACTTCACGTCAGCTATATGTTCTTTCACGCGGGTTTTTATAGTTTTTTTTTTGTTTGACCTATGTAAAAGAGACCACATTCACAATCTGGCTTGTACACTCCTGCATCTTGTATAGGGAATTAAAAATAAGTTAAAACTACTGACAGTTGAACGCGATGAATTCCGTATATATAGTTTTGTTCAATGTGTAGTGTTCGCGTAAATTTAAGAAATCATTATAAAGCTTATTTTTTAACGTCCTAATAAATATTGTATTCTTCACGATTGGCATACGGATTTTCGATCGCAGTATAAGACTGACTGTCTCGTTGGCCTTTGATTGCCTTTTTGGTCTAGTGGTCGTCGCTACACCTCGTGAAAGACGACTTCTTAAAAAATCAGACCGATAATTTTAGCGGTCAGCCACCGCAGAGTCTGCATCACCTGAGGATGCCTAGTATAGAGGCGAAATATCGTCGTGTCGTATTATCATCGATGGTGTGCCTTTCCTAGAAGAGTGGTGTTGGGAGTATATGTACTGGGATTAGTAGTGACGGGATCAGTGCACTCAATTGGGGGAGGGCGGGAGGTTCTCTTTAAACTAGGTAAGACACATCATTATGTTTTATTGAGCGAATATGTGCGAGGTAATTCTTACCAACTTCAAACAAAAACACTCGTTTACGCAAGGTGCCTCGTTTACGTAGGCCGGGGACAGGCAGCAGTGCCAAAGGTGCGAGGCGTCTGGTTGTGTGGTGATAGTCAATCCGCTTGCAAAACGTTAAGGCCACCTGATGTCTAGCAGTGGGTTTTACGGGACGATGATGAAACCGTAACGATCAGCTTTTTATTCGTTTTAGAGCCATGCTTTTTTTAGAAAGGGTTTTTTTACAAACAAACACACAGTTCACCTGATGGTAAGTGGATACTGCGGCCCATAGACATCTACGTTTATCTTCGATTAAGAATCAAAATGCAGATGCGTTGTCACCACTAAAGACTACGATGGAATGCCTCATTTCCTGTAAAAAAGTTCTCCGGTTCTCTACACTCACCATACGAAACAGAGCAGCATTAAGCTGCTATTTTACGCTGGTATTCTGTGAGAGCGTGGTGCTTTCATGGTAGTGAGGACCCATTTGTGCTACAAACATAATCTAGCCACAGTATGACTACCACGTTCAGCTATATTATGGTATAGTTAATGTAGAGGGGTGGTAACACGTCTGCGTTTTGATTTTTAATCGGGGATAGAAGTTCTATGGGCCACATTATCCTCTTACCATCAGGTGGACTGTGTGTTCGTTTGTCACCCTTATTATATAAAAAAACGACAGGAAGGCTATATTCGGGTTCACCATTGTGATGATACAGATATAGTAGGTTTTCTCCGAATATAGAAATTAAGTCCTGCGTGACTGTAATATTTTTTATAATAAACTTGATTTATATATATAAGCTTGATAAAAAAGCAGACATCCAACATGCCTGCATCGAACTGCCCTTACGCCGAGCTTCATTCCATAAAAATCATGATCATTTCATTATATATCCTCTCCACTCTCAGTAATAACTCTTAATTCACATGAGAACCGAACGCGCGACCTCTCACTCGTCATCCGCGAGTTGATGCATCACAAATATAAGGCCGCCAATTGACCGGGTCGACGACCCCATTGATAATCGCGGCCGACCCACCCGACGCCTGTCTAATTGACACATTATCGGTTGACTTTTTGAATTTATCAATTATGAGGTCCGCCATTTTATTAACGAGCGGTTTTCAAAACAGATAAGTAAAGCAACAGCTAAATCATGTCTCACTGCCAGCATTGCCGGAGGTGGGCACAGGTTTTCTATTATTGCACACCTCTATTGCAATAGCGTCGGGTATGTTTTACTGTCAACAAGCCGCAAAGACGCTATGTTCTCTTGCTTAGTCGTGTCTATCATTGATTAAACTCATATGCGTCTTAGTGCAAAAAGTACTAACCTAAACTAACTTTAGATGGTAGAGCCACGCCTCAGCTATATTATAGGTGTAACATGGATAGGTCTGTTCGACCGGGGTAGGACCACGCTCGCACAGAATTCCAACGTAAAATAACAACTTAATGCTGCTGTGTTTCGTATGGTGAGTGTAGAGAACCGGAAATGCTTTTTACTGGAAACGAGGCATTTCATCTTAGTCATCAGGGGTGACAACGATTTGATTCTTAATTGAGGATAAATATAGGGTGTGTATGGGCCACAACATCCACTTACCATCAGGTGGAATGTGTGCTCGTATCATAAAAGTGAGTAGTTTTATTTTTCTACATAGTTTCCTTATAATTCTACATACTTCTCTCAGCGATGATCCCTTCTCTAAACCGTCCAAGTAGTATTCGGCGTTTTTCTCTGCAAAATAATTGTTCACGAAGGTGATTGCCTCCTCTATTGACGAAAATCTCTGTCCTCCGAGCACAATTTTTAGACGAGGGAGTAAAAAGAAGCCGCTTGTGGCTCGATCTGGTGAGTAAGGCGGATAGTCGAGCAGTTTAAGTCGTAAATCGTGGATTTTCGCCATGGCAACCGCTAGGTATAAGACGGCGCGTTGTCATGGTAAATTAGGGCTGTCTTTTTCTGCAAATGTGGAACGTTTTTCCGCAATTTCTGCCTTTAATTTGCCAAGTAATGATGCGTAGTATGCTCTTGTAACGGTTTTTCCTTTTTGAAGATAATCAATTAAGATAACTCTATGACTATCCCAAAAAAACAGTGGCCATCACTTTCCCAGCCGAAAAAACAGTTTTGCCTTTTTGGAGCCGCTTCCGCCTTTGCAGTTCACTAGTTTGACTGTATTTTTCTTTCGGGCGTATAATGGTGTATCCAAGTTTCATCTACAGTAGTTAATCGGCGCCAAAACTCGCATTTATTGCGCCAAAACTGAGCCAACAGAGCGTTGGAAGTGTTCATTCAATTCCAACGCGCGACAGCTAAATCTTGATTTAATATGTGACAAACACGTTCTTTGGACATTTTCATAGCCTCTGCTATCTCATTAACTTTTATTCGGCGGTCGTCTAGCACCACTAGGTGAAATCATGATTTAATATGTGACAAACACCTTCTTTGGACATTTTCATAGCCTCTGCTATCTCATTAACTTTTATTCGGCGGTCGTCTAGCACCACTAGGTGAAATCTTGATTTAATATGTGACAAACACGTTCTTTGGACATTTTCATAGCCTCTGCTATCTCTTTAACTTTTATTCGGCGGTCGTCTAGCACCACTAGGTGAAATCTTGATTTAATATGTGACAAACACGTTCTTTGGACATTTTCATAGCCTCTGCTATCTCATTAACTTTTATTCGGCGGTAGTCTAGCACCACTAGGTGAAATCTTGATTTAATATGTGACAAACACCTTCTTTGGACATTTTCATAGCCTCTGCTATCTCTTTAACTTTTATTCGGCGGTAGTCTAGCACCACTAGGTGAAATCTTGATTTAATATGTGACAAACACGTTCTTTGGACATTTTCATAGCCTCTGCTATCTCATTAACTTTTATTCGGCGGTACTCTAGCAACACTAGGTGAAATCTTGATTTAATATGTGACAAACACGTTCTTTGGACATTTTCATAGCCTCTGCTATCTCTTTAACTTTTATTCGGCGGTACTCTAGCAACACTAGGTGAAATCTTGATTTAATATGTGACAAACACGTTCTTTGGACATTTTCATAGCCTCTGCTATCTCATTAACTTTTATTCGGCGGTACTCTAGCACCACTAGGTGAAATCTTGATTTAATGTGTGACAAACACGTTCTTTGGACATTTTCATAGCCTCTGCTATCTCTTTAACTTTTATTCGGCGGTACTCTAGCAACACTAGGTGAAATCATGATTTAATATGTGACAAACACGTTCTTTGGATATTTTTATAGTCTCTGCTGTTTTTCTTATTTTAATTCGGCGGTCGTCTAGCCCCGGGACCGGGGCCCCCCCCCACACCCCCCCACCAAAAAAAAAAAAACACAAAACCACCGCAAAAGGCTCCCACCCCCCCCACACCCCCCACCAAACAAAAACAAAAACATTTTCCAAATCATTTGGTGAACTTAAGCGATATTGTGCCTAACGTTAGTCGCCTCACAAGCTCTTACGGCCAAGTTTAAAATCAGCTGCTTATAATTTCACTGTGATAAATGATGGTGCAGATACCCATACACAGTCTTATTCATCTTTGATTTGCGTCGGCGTATTGCCTTTCAAAAACAAACATTTAGTGACAGCTTTGATACTCAATTTTTTCCATTTTCACAAAAACACACATCGACTCAATCAAAGGAGTACATTACACGCTCATGCAGGTGTCAATCAATTCCATCAATCATAATTGATAAAAAACGGATGGTGATTGATGGGCGTACATTACGCGCTCACGCAGGCGTCCATCAATGCATTACACGGTAGGTTATTCGTCAAACACAACCGTGATTGTTGTAAAACTGACAGCCTGCATGAGCGTGTAATGAACGCCTAACGACTGTCAAATAACAACTACGTCTAAAAAGGCTGAAATTTCGGTGCGTAACCGTCAAAAGATGCAAAATTACATTCACTACTCACCCTGGTATATATATCGTTAATGAAATCCTGCTTTTGATTTATTTAGAATAGCATTTAACAGAATAATAAATAAATGATGGTTCCTTCCGCTTCGGCATCGCTTCTTTTAATCCGAAAGCTGAATAAAGCTCCCCTTCCTAAGGCTTATTATTTACCTCCAGATAAGTAAAACGTTCGGATCAACAAAGATAAATAGCGCATTCTAATATCTGCCACTACAGTCCAGGCACGTAGCGATATCGTTTTTAGTTATTTACAAACCTATTACTTTACAAATCACCGAGTCGTGAATGGAATAAACAATATATAATATTGGTTTTACGGATTAGTAAGCTGAAGTAGCAATGAACTAGGTAGCTCAAAGAATCGACCACCGATGTGGAAGATAGGCCCCACACTGTATGGAGTGACGTCTGGTAAGATAGTTAAGGTACGCAGGAAGTCCATGAATGCATGTGGCTGAAGACCGTGCTTTGTGGCATTGCTTGAGGGAGGTCTATATTCAGCAGTGGACTTATGAAGGGTTGTAATGATGATGATAACGCCACTTACAATCAGATGAGATAGTAGCTAAGCTGGCTTAACGTAGTAAAAATATGGTTTGATGAGAATTGTTTAAGATAAACCTATTGTACTATGATTGTGGTTTGTTTGCTTACTAGGTGTGGCCGTGGAAGGAAAAGGGAAGAACTCCCACCGGGCAAGGAGTTTTACCCAGGGAGCGGCTAACGCTCCAAGTGGTAGTTGGGAGCTATTCTATGTATAATTCTTTAGTTCGGAACTTTGATAGCGCGATGTAGGTTTCAATGTGTTTTCGCTTGTGGTGCGACGACAGTGCTGCCACACTAGATTGTGTTTATGAGTTTATTTATTATGTATTATAGTAATTTATATATATTCCATTCGGGTCGAATATACTCCGCAATAATTATTATAGTACACACCTCGCAACACTTCGTTACTGAATATCGCTTCTCCGATTGTAAGACGAATTTGCGCATCTTTGATGCTGCTCCCGTATCTAATCTATTATTGTACATTTAGTTAGATGTATATACGCTATTTGAGGCTAGACGTGATTTTGGCCTTTCCTAAAATTGCCTTTTTACTTGTTATAAAAATGTGTTCCTATATATGAAGAAAAAAATAAAGCCTTCTATGTAATTTCGCTGATTGCCGTTCCTGGGTGGCAGATAGTCAACTGTAAAAGATAATTTCGCCCGATATGACGTCACATTCTCGACCATATGTTACACAAGGCGATAAGTCCTACGCTCATGTCATATCCCTTATTTCCCGGGAGTGCTTTTACGCTGATTGTCACGATCGTAAATACTAAATTGGACAAGAAAAAAATACTTTTACGGCGCCTGTGTACTACAAGGTAAACTTAGCGCCCGTAATTGTAATTTATTATGGTACGGGTTTCACTGGAAAAATAGATGTTTTGTCATTTTGTACAAACGAGGCATCCCTTTTGTATTCCTTAGATGTGCAACACATCTGCATTTTGATTCTTAAGTGATGATAGATGTAAGATATCTATGAACCACATCATCCACGTAACATCAGGTGGACTGTGTGCTCGTTTGTCAACTTATTCTATAAAAATAACGTTAATTGGCGCTCATCGTCATCATATCCTTACAGAAATTTGTTTAGTTTCTTACCCCAATACTATGACTGTCTCCTGTTTCGTGAAAGCGGTTTCCATAAGTCAATTTATATATTTAAAACATAAAAGACTTTTAAAATTGATATGGTCATTATAAAATGTTGTTAGGTTAGCTAATTACGTAATAACTTAAAACAGAAGGACCCTTAAGTAGGAACTGAATAAATTAACCGACTTGGTATTACATGGATCTCACAACTTTTTACGGTAGAAGAACTGAGTTGCGAGACTTGGTTTTTTTACAAGTTATGTTTTTAATGGCATCTCATATCTTTTTGTATATAAGATAGTCCTAATTTTTACCTTTCCGGTACCTTCTACTTCTTGAGTACCAACAACGTACCAATGTACACACCTGTAATACATATACAAGTACACTGACTCATTCACTGCAAATGTAACTTTGTAATTCTATATATTTATATGGATTACAATGTTATTTGTGCAGTTAGTGTATATAGAAAACTGGACAAAAATTAACAAATGTTTTAGTTTTTCCTTGATTTATACACTAAACACTAATTGTATTCTGAATTTGAAGCTTCTATGTCTGCTAGAAGTGCCTTAGAGTTTTGATGATCGGCCAGTCAGTGAGTGACAAAATTAAGAAACTTTGACTTGTTACAATTCTTAAACTACTGGTTCAAATTGAATGAAATTTGAAATATACCATGATTATACAATGCTTACCCGGCTTCTAGTTTAATTGACTACGAAGTTATAGGGGGTCGAAAATATCCTGAATTGCTTCGAGAAAAGATGGTACGGCCGTGCCGCTTTTTTGCTCGACTTGGCGGGGCACTGCTGTGCCCCCAGATAAACCGCTGTTATTCATAAAATACTTTAAGATATTAAACTTTGCATACTAACTGAACTAACTATAAAGCAGTGCTTATGTTATTTACTTTTTTTTAAAATACCGTTATTTTCACTGTTTTTTAAATTACCTAAACTATCGGCCTCTTGAAGCGTGATTCCTGCCGCACGGTCACTTCGCTTCGGTCTTTGAACGGGGAGGTGTCGCTTACGATCAGAATATACATTACGCAACAGGACGACGTAAAATTAAAATGGGAAATAACTGTAATAAAAATAAGAAGCAACTGGCTTGGCGTTAAGAAACAGGCATAAATATGATAAACCTGATGAAATAAGTGTCTAACGACCTTTCTACTTACAGTATTAGTGATTACAAACATATCGGTACATAGCATACGACGCGCGGGCAAGTAGGAACGAAATTAGAATTTGAGCTGACTTACTATATCCCCTTAAGCTGGTATTCTGTGAGAGCGTGGTCCTTCCCCGGTCGAGCCGACCCATTCGTGCTACAACCATAATATAGCTACAACGTAGCTCTACGTACGAGTATAATGGGGTTAAGTAGCGTTATCAAGCTCTCTCTCGGCTTGTGGTTATGTTGACTCTTACCCTTCAGTTACAGATTCCTAGTCATAAAAGAATTCCAAGATTATTTTAATGTTTTTTTAAATATAATTGTTAATATTATTGAATATGTTCGTTTCAGATGCGGAGACACAGTGGTCGCATCTGCCGGGGGAGGCGGCGTTGTCCACGACATTGCGGTCACGTTGCGCGAGTGGCTCAAAGACTGGAAGAAATTATACATTGTAAGTTACAAAATCAACTGCGTAAGTAAAGTGATAATTGTCTATACACTAGTGTAAGTTGTTTCTTTATTAGTAGTGGCGGTGGAGGAATATCCTATATATCAAGCCGTGGGTGTCGTGAGAGGCGACGGAGGTAAACAAATCAGGAGATGGGCAAAAGCGTTTCCTTAATAACGACTAACTACAACTTTTTATATTATTTATTTATTTATGGGACAATAAAACAATAAGGACCGATCCTCATCATAATGCTGTTGATAGTTCGTTCTCGGTCTGATAAAATATTATCAAGTAAAAAATGTGTTTATGCATTCATACTATCCGTAACAGTCAAGTTTCGCTCGAATCCCATTCCAATTATATAATAAATCAGACCGAGATCGACCTGTGAACGGCAAATGAGGATCGGCCCTAAATATAGTAGGCATCTTTGACCTTATCAGTTCGCAGGGTCATAGGGCAAAGGGTAAAGTAATTGTCAAAAAAAAATTTATACGTTTAACTCAAAATGTTTGTTTTTATCTTTTGTAAAATATCAGTGCCATAGGCTTCTACTCTGTTCACATGTTATGCCGGCTGTACACGCTCGTCTCGTCGCCTCGCGTGCCTCTCGTCCTGTTGAGGCTTGACACGAGAACACACCATGTACACACTCGTAGTATCATTTGAACTCCTTATGCCCGCTGAGATGGACCTAGATGAAACGGTTGCTGCGTTTTGCCATTGTGCTATTAGTTATTATAACATTTGACACATTGACCATTAAAATAAAATTAATACGCTACGGCCAAGAATAAGATGGTGGATGGTTTCTATTTACCGTAACTGAACCATGTACGGTGAATATAATATAGTACGCTCTCATTTTCATCGCGAGACTCACGAGACCCTTTGACTCGAGCGCAAATAACCGACACGCCTCCGAGAGCGCACGAGGTTCACGAGACGCGACGCGAAGCGACGAGAGCACCATGTACACACTCGTACTCGGCCTGTCTCGTGGTGTCTCGACGAGCGTGTACAGCCGCCATAACACCCTATTTTTTCCAGACGGTAAAAACTGTCATCCATTATATTTTTATAAATATGTCCCTTATGAGGCAATCAGTGGCAGTAATGGGACATCAGTGGCTTGTTCCTATTCCAATAGATGGCGCTATAAACATCTTGTTTACGTCACACAGGCGATGGTTAGCAGCTTTATCTATACTTGGTAGAGCCATGCTGCAACCATATTGCGGTTGTAGAACGAATGGGTCGGCTCGACTGGGGAAGCACCACGCTCTCACAGAATATCAGCTTATTGCTGCTGTGTTTCATATGGTGAGTGTAGAGATTCGGTGACATTTTTTACTCAATCATTCCATCTTAGCCCTCACGGGTGACAACGCATCTGCATTTAAATACTTAATCGGTGATGGATGTACATAGATGTATAAAGGCCACTGCATCCACTTATCATCAGCTTGACTTTGTGCTCGTTTGTCACCCTTATTCTATAAAGAAACCTTAAAAAAGTTTGATACGTCTAATCTGCTATCCCTCTCTTACAGAGAGGGAAATTCCAGAACCATCAACGTTTACCATTTCGTTTACGCCAGACGTAAAATAACCACACCGGCAACGTACATCCTCAAGGTGTGACGTATACACGCTGCGATCTTCAATGTCAAGCATGACGATGTGGAGGAAAGTGTAAGGAGTGTTTGTGAAAGTTATTGTAGGTTCATATCTATAGTATGTGTATTCGTAACTTTAATGTGCGTGTGCATTTAAATACATGTGAATTATCATAAAATAGCGATCGATTAAAATTCTTAAATATTCGGTATGCGGCCGAATAGACCCAATACCGAATAATGGGGTGCGAAGTTGTGTGATAAAAAAAAGAGTATGGTTTGCAAGATAATGCTGTGACCAAGATTAAAAAAGGAATTCTTCTGTGATTTGGTCATATAGAAATAATGAATGAGGAAAGAGTGACAAAGCAAATTTATGTTACAGAAATGAACGGAAGTGTCGGAAAGGGACGTTCTAGGCGAAAGTTTGTCGACCAAATTGGCGATATATTGAAAATGGGCCAAATTAAGAGTACCCTCAACCGACGAGCATGTATGCGTAGGTATATGGATGTGAAGGAGGCGAGAGAGGTGTGTCAGGATCGTGCTAAATGGAAGTCTGTAGTCTCTGCCTACCCCTCTGGGTGACAGGCGTGAGTGTTTATGTATGTATTCGTTGCAAGTCTAATTGAAATAGGTGCAGCCGTTTAGGAAGGGTTCTGTGACAAACACACATACAAAATAATTATATAAATAATGATAAAAGAGACTTTTACCAGTGACCAGCGCCCGCATAATAAAGTAAATTCATATCCAGCAAGAAACTTCTTAGAGCTGATGAAGAAGATGAGTACCGATATACATATAGTATGGTGAGTTTAGAGAACCGGAGACCCTTTTTACTGGAAACGAGGCATTTCATCTTAGTCCTCAGGGTTGAAAACACATCTGTGTTTCAATTCTTAATCAAGGATGTATGTGCATATCCATGGGCTACTAAATCCACTTACTATCAGGTGGACTGTGTGCTCGTTTGTTATCCTTATTATATAAAAGAATAAAATAAAAAGGTGACAACCCTTATCTAAACCTAGTAGAGGCTCATATTCATCATCTCATTAAAACTTTACAGACAAATGACGAACGCTTCAAGTTCATGGAGGTGAGCATGCGCGCTCTGTTGGAGCTGAGGGCGCAGGCTGCCTCCAGCGCACTGCCGCAGGACCAGCTTAGAAAGGTCTCCAGAACCGCTATATTCACAATCGACAAAGGAAACAGGTATGCTTAAGGCTTTTTTCCAGGGGGTGCTAGGTCTTTTTTACTTGACCATTAGTTTGTGCGGAATTAATAATTTATGTTTGTTTGTTTTTACCAAAAAACTACCCTTATTTACTTATATTTTAAGAGCCAATCAGAAACCGTGCGAAGTTAAGTTGAATTTCGAGCATTAATCGACATCCATTCTTGGTGCTGCCATTAGAAAAGTAAAATTTAATATACATAATCGTTATTTATTCTACCTATATTTATATATTTAAATCCTACATTATTTTGTGTACAATATTTTTATCCTACCTACGTCTAACTCTCACCACTCCGTGTCTTGACTGGTAGAGAATGACTCATAAAACTAAGTACAAACTTTGTATTCAGAGAATTCAATAAGGAATAAATAAATATATAATATGTAATAAATAAATAATCCTAGGCGGAAGTTTGTCGACCAAATTCGCGATATACTAAAAAGGGGCCAAATTAAGAGTACCCTTAACCGACGAGCATGTATGCGTAGGTATATGGATGTGGAAGAGGCGAGAGAGGTATGTCAGGATCGTGCTAAATGGAAGTCTGTAGTCTCTGCCTACCCCTCTGGGTGACAGGCGTGAGTGTTTATGTTATATAAGATAAAATCAACCAATAGGCCTAAATAATGAGATAATGATGAAGAAGGCCACAGTCCCTCTGATATTATTGGTGCTGCAAGGCATTTTTTTAAACTTTATTGCGTCCCCTTAGAAAAAAAAAGAATACAAAGGGCGGACCTAATACCTAAAGGCATTCTCTACCAGTAAACCCATCGAAAAGTCAGGAATATAAAATTAGTAAAAACGGGACATGATTAAAGCAGACGCTGGGCCCGGCTCCAGTCCTTCGTTATAGTCTTACTATGCATTCGAACCAAGTAGTTTGCTTAGTTCTCCGTAATGCGTACAGCAAGAAAGTGGAATGATTTGCCAGCATCTGTCTTTCCATCCAATTATAATGTGAATGTCTTCTTATATAGTAATTATTTCGATATTTACTCGATATAATTAATGGGTTATTTTTAAAACTAGCTGAACCCGGCAGACATTTTCCTGCCAGTTAGTATCATACATTATGTTCGGCAACGTTTTTTTTTTATTTGGCCCGCTTGATTGAAATTTGATGCTGGTGATCGATCAAATTGGTTTTGGGTTAAACTATTTCGTATATACAAACATCCTCTTTTATATTTTTAAAATTATGCGAATCAAAAATGTAATTTCTCCTGTTACATGAATTTCTTAGAAATGAGGAAGAAGTGACAGGTATGTACGTTGTTTCTGTACTTACTAAGTCATAGTACTTTTTTACATGTACACCTACTTACCACTCTTAACTATTTCTATCGCCAAGGAACAATGTGTGCACTGTTCCATACTGAAGGGTATAGAAAGTCAGTACAATAACAGGTATTATTGAGGGGGCTATGCTTGGGGTTTCTGCGTGAAAAACTTAGAAATGAGGATATCCACGGTAGAACCAAAGTAAATCGACATTATCCAACGGATTAGTAAGCTGAAGTGGCCACGGGAAAAAAGGAGCTCGAGTGGTCTCGTACACCGATAAGCGAAGTGTAAGGCGGTCCCTGACTGGATGAAGTGACACCTTGTAAGAGATGCAGTAACTCGATGGACGTAAGTGGTTTGGGACCATTTTTTTATAGGACAAGGGTGACAAACAAGCACACAGTCCACCTGATAATATGAGATGTAAGTCGTTGCTGCGGCCTATAGACATCTATATCAATCCTCGATCACGACGTAAAATGCAGATGCGTTGTCACCCGTGAGTACTAAGATGGAATGCCACTTTTCCAGTAAACAGTGTCTCCGGTTCTCTACACTCACCATACGAAACACAGCTGCGTTAAGCTGCTAGTTTATGCTGGTATTCTGTGATAGCATGGTCCTTCCCCGGTCGAGGACCCGTTCGTGCTACAACTATACTACTAATATAGCTGCAGCAAGGCTCTATCACGTAGAAAAATGCATGCTTTGTGACATTCTTTGGGGGAGCCCGGTGTTCAGCCATGACTTGTGTAGGACTGAAATTATGATGATGATGATATTTACAAGTTGTGTGGCATTACATCTTATCACTCAGAGATGAATACGTATTTGTGGCCTCGTTAGTTGGAAATTAGATGCAGGTGTTCATCAGGTGGACTGTAAGTTCGTATGAATCACTTTAATTTTATTAAAAAAAAGCTTTTTGCACTTTGTTTTAGGACGCTAGGCATGGAGTTAGCGGTGAGGACGCCTAGCGGTCAACTGGTGGACCCGCTCAGCACTTCCACGTACAAACTGAACGCACTGCATGACGAAGCGAATGCGAGACTCGATAAAAATATGGTAGGTTACTCAGACTGGGACGCATAATTTAATAAATAATTCCATCAATATAATTTTGAAACTCAAAGCGTTTCATAGAAGCGTACAAATGCTAACAAATCGCATGCCTTGTGTGCGATCTTAATTTAATAATATATCGACATAATATGTGATATCACTATTTTTTTTGAAATCTCCTGCCTCGTTCCTCCTGTATAGCGGAGGCGTATGCCTGCTTTCAATCGATTTGTCTTAATGGAATAAAATATTGCGTCAGCGAAAAATAAATATGGCAGCCTTGAACTGGTAAGTTTATCTATCAAGATATTTTTATATACTGCTTTTTTTTACCGTCTGGAAAAATACGGTGTAACAAGTGAACGTAATACAAGCCTAGTGCACTGATATTTTCCAATTTACTTTCGGTACTAAAAAAAATAACAAATTTTTTGAACTAATAGATTAATTAAACACTATCGAAATTAAAATAATACGTACTCAATTAGTAGTATTTATTAATAGATCAATTTCATAATAATATGTTAATGTAAAAAAATGTTAAATATCCCTGGCATAAGCTTCTATTCCGTTCACCTGTTTTTATATTTATTATCCAGACGGTAAAAAATATCATTCAGTATATTCCAAACTTACAGGGCGGCGACGGGTTCTATACAAAAAATGATAAGACGAATTCTATAGTGCGTACACAAAAAATTCTTTAAATATTTTTAGTTGTTTAGTTCAAAAAGTTGTTTTAAACGTAAAGTTCGTTAGTAAATTCCGTAATTTAGTCACAGTAATTTTATTTTGTTTTAGTAACTTTTGTACATGATGAAGATAAACAAATTTGCATAGGGCGTACCCCGATAGAGTCCATAAACCGTGTTTATAAAATAAAGAAAGTGACGTTTCTGCTTGTAAATGTTCTGCCTTACATTGCATTTTTTGTTTGATAATTTACATTTTTTAATTTTGATTATGAGATCAAAATTAATATGTTTTAATGTAATTTATCGAAATTATAATGACCGAGTTTTCATGTATTGTGCAAGTTGACAAGCCACAACAACCTTTATATTATTGGTATAAAACAAAGTTGCATACTTTTTAGATTACCGTAAACGGTTCTTTGTACTTTAATGACGATCTAACTGTGGTGATACAAACATGTACTAATTGTTATTTATGTGCTGCTGGAAATGGTATCCGCAATGTTATGTTAGATTTCTTATTCATCTTCTTTCTTCAATTCGATAATGTTCATACAGCGTATTTCGTTTACATTTTACCTATATGATAACTTATATTTTTATTAATACGAAACTTTCTGTATGACCGTAATTGGTTTGTATGTGTGGTCCTTCGAGCCAGATATGATCTAAAGATCGATGGATAAAAGTTCATTGTTGGACATAGGCTTCCGCGTTGTAGATTTGTATTAATTATCACGCTTGGCTGGGGGAATTATAGTTGACGTCTAGCATTTTTGACGCTGTTTCCAGTTTTGTCAGCTCGGGTATTTTTAATCTAGCGTTAACAAGATAGTTACGCCTCTAACTATTAGAAGCTGGAAGCCATTAGGCTATAGTAGCATTACTCACAGTTGCCTCATACGATTACCACTGTACGAAATGGGCTGATGGGTTTTCTTTCGCCACCACTGCACAGCTCCTAATTACTTATTAAATATATTTTATTTTAGTCTTTAACTAGTAACTTGGAATATAAATTTAGAGTTTTCAACAACGATAACTCTAATTACTTCAGTGGCTATTCGTTTTTTTTTAAAAATTACACTCCGTCACTGGATATAAGAGTGCTCTGTTGTAGGGATGGATTATTTTGATATGGAATAAGGGTAACGAACGTGCACATATTTCACCCCATGGTATAGAAATTGTGTTCCATAGGCATAATAATATCTAAATCAAAAGTGCCTTGTCGCCCTTGATTACTAAGAAGGAATGCCTCATTTCAAGTCAATAGTGTCTCTACACTCACTATTCGAAAAGAAGCAGCATAAACCTGCTATGAACCTGCTATATGATGCTAGACAAAGAATAAAAACTGTGTCACATTTGTGGATCGCTACCTGTGGGCAGGTGGAGGCTGTAGCTGTGGGCGGGTGGAGGCACGGTAAGTATTCTACAAAAGTAATGAAAATATACTTAGTTGTGTTGTGCGTACAGTTCCTGTGGCAGCGGATAGAAGTATTTTATTTTTGATTTAACTTTGTTGTTCCGCGTATTATTCCAGGAGAACGCGACGGGTGCGGGTGGTGTCGGGAGTGGTGGGGGTGGGGTGGTTCCGGGCGTGCGCACTCACTCACTGGCGGTGCGTGTGCACAACTTCGTGTGCCGCGTGGGCGGCGGCGCGGAGCTGCTGCTGGCGCTGCACGACGCGGCCGGCGCGCAGCTCACCGAGCCGCTACTGCTGCGCTGCCCCGCGCACCATCTGGCGCCCGCGCACCTGCTCTTCACGGTACGCCACCATCATCATCATCATTACAGCCCTTCACAAGTCCACTGCTGAACATAGGCCTCCCCCAAGGTATGCCACAAAGCACGGTTCTGAGCCACCTTGCATCCATCGACTACCTGCATGTCTTACCAGGTGGTCACTCCATCTGGCCCTCGAGGCTGGGGCTGCCATTCGAGAACCTTTTTTCCCCAACGGTTGTCGGTTCTTCGAGCTATATGGCCGGCCCATTGCCACTTCAGCTTACTAATCCGTTGAGCTATGTCGGTCACTCTAGTTCTACTGCGGATATACTCATTTCTAAGTTTATCACGCAGAGAAACCCCGAGCATAGCCCCCTCCATAGCTCGCTGAGCGACTTTGAGCGTCCTCATACGGCCAGCGGTGAAGGACCACGTCTCGGTTCCGTAGGTCACTGGCAATACGCACTGGTTGTACAATCTAGTTATCAGGTTTTAAGGTATACCTAACAAGAAGATGTGTCGTAATTTCCCGAACGCTGGCCAGCCGAGTTGAATCCGACGATTGACCTCTCGGTCGAAGTTGGACATACCTAATCGGACTATTTGTCCCATGTAAACGTACTCGTCAACAACTTCGAGCTTAGTGCTCCCAACCACTACGGTCATAGGTGTGACATGGACATTAAACATGATCTTTGTTTTGTCCATGTTCATCTTAAGACTTATCCGTTGGGAGGCACTATTGAGGTCATTGAGCATAGTGCTTAAGTCCTCCAGCGATTCTGTCATAAGGACTATATCGTCGGCAAATCGAAGGTATCCTTTCCAGTCCAGTAGCTTACGCCACCAACTCACAGTTTCCTCGTTTCCAGTAAAAAGGTGTCTCCGGATCTCTACACTCACCTTACGAAACACAACAGTTAAGCTGCTATTTTATGCCGGTATTCTGTGAGAGCGTGGTCTTTCCCCGGTCGAGCCGACCCATTCGTGCTTCAACCATAATACAGCTGCAGCGTGGCTCTAATACGTACTAAAACACCACGTTTGGCTACAGACGTTTAAGTGTTTGACATGGAGTTAGTAATAACATATATATTAGGTGCGTTTGGCAGAAAAAAGCGCTAGCAAGCGCTTATAAGCGCTGAAATAGTTTTCGGCCAGGACACGATTGCTACTTCAGTAGCGCTGATACAATCCGCCATTTTGTTTATTTAATTTGTTTGTTTTGAAGTAGAGTTTATAAGTTGTTTTGTGCAATATTAGTTTTAAGTAATATAATGACATGAATAAACATATAAGTACATGTTACTAAAAATTCATGATTGGTAAGTTTTTAATATGAATACTTTACAAACATATAATATTTAAATTAGGTTAGGTTCCCCGGTTAAAACTAACATCGTGTCCTGGAGGAAAATAGCTACTTACGATTTGACAGCGCTTACCGCTTACGATCGCCATTTTGCTTACAAGCGCTTGCTAGCGCTTTTTTCTGCCAAACGCACCCATTATGATTGTACTTTACTCAAATGTCAAACTCTAATACTCAAAACTAATGTCTCTCAACATTGACAATACTGTCGATTTCATACGAGCGTAGATTATGTATGTTTAATTTAATGTATTTGTAACACATTGTTTATAAATTTTAATTTTCTGCACTCCTTCGTGCACGCTACAACTCACACTTTTCCGTGCACGCAATATTCTTTAGAAAAGGGGTACAAAATTTTCTCTTCACGTATTAATATATAGATAAGATGCACACGCCTGAAGTGATACGATCTTCGTACTATTGTGTGGAATCTTAGCAGAAATTGAAAAAACTAATATGTACTTCATACACCTGTGCTTGGCGGTGATCGGTGTGAAACTAAAACGTCGCGTGGTAATAAAATAGAAGAATTACACTCGTGTTTCTTTTATAATACAACATAATTACGAAGAACCTTTGTTTCTGTTGGGCGTCCCCCGAGGCCAACGTCTTTTTAAAGATTTTTCTTTCATACAGATTATTTCAAGCCTGCATACTCGCATTTATGTTACATATTTGTATTTGTTTCTCCCTCTTCAGGATTTGGGCAGCGATATAAAGAAGGAAAAGGTGTTCCTCGTATGTAATGTCGTGCGGATAGGTTCCATGGAGCCGCAGAATGTCGACCACAGGTTTGTTAACAATATCTAGCTTATATAATTTCATATGACTTTTGTATGACTTAAATTAAAACAAATTAGATGCATATATTGTATTAAAATCGCATACCGATTTCAGCTGTCGCGCTTTGACCATTGATGGCGCTATAATTGTGTGTATAAAACTAATTTATTTCATTAACATTTTACCTGAAATAACTCTATAAATTACCAAAAATACTTCTCAACTTTCCATATTTAACATCAACTTGTAAATTTTATATAGATAATGAATATCCAACAACTATATATTTACCATACCATACATGTATTATCATCAGAAAAAGGCTTACTAAAATTATTATTACTTAAATTCTTATATGTGGAAGAGCCATGCTGCAGTTATATTAGAAGTATAGTTGTAGCACGAATGGGTCGACTCGACCGAGGAAGGACCACGCTCTCACAAAATACCAGCGTAAAATAGCAGCTTAATACTGTTGTTTCGTGTGATGAGTGTTGAGAACTGGAGACCCTTTTTTCTGGAAACGAGGCATTCCAACTTAGTCCTCACGGGTGACAACGCATCTGCATTTTGATTCGTAATCGAGAATAGATGTAGATGTCTATAGACCACAGCAACCACTTACCATCAGGTGGACTGTGTGCTCGTTTGTCACCCTATCCTATAAAAAAAATTCACACGTACATAACACTCAGCCAATATATACAAATCATTTAATGTAGCACACGACGAGCTAGTTTAGTAGTCTTACCCAAAATCAAAACTAATTATGGCAAAAACATGCTTACTTTTAAAGAAGCACAGCTTTATAATAGAATACCCTCTAGGATAAGAAATCTATCAATGTATTTAAAACTCAACTTAGATGACGACGAACTTTGTGTAATTTTATGTATGTGTTAGTATTGTTCTCAAGAGAGTGACATATATATCTTTATTCAGAATAAAATTTCCTTAAATCTAATTAGGTACTTTCTGTATCAATTGTTTCAAATTTTGTGTATTATTATATTGTTTAAATAATTAGAAACGTCGGGCCCGGCGTCCGAGGTCAGAGGATATTCGTTCTATACGCCGGCTGTGTGTGTGACGATGGAGGCTCATGACAACAGTGGACTTTTACTTTTTAATGATATTTCCAAAAGAGGTTAATAATATTGTTCTGTAGACTGAATTTCGGTCGTGGCGGTCGGTCTCAACTATCTGTGCAGGACAGGATTGTAGTGCCCGTGTATTGTAAGCATAGGTGCACTCTCTATTCCCTCACTCTCATAGTCCGATAGAACGGTAATTCGACACGACCTGAGAGAGGTCAGGCGTAGAACCAACGGCTTCATGTGGTTTCCGAAGCATGGGGGTGAAACATCACCAACTTCCTGACTTCGAGCTGTAGCTTAAAATTTCTTGACAGAAAATATAACTGACTGACCGGACCCGGAATTCGAACCCACCACATGACCAGTAAAGTTGTTTTACGAGCGCTATAAACCGTATAGTGTTTATTTTTCTTTACTAACTTAAAGTTGCCACAGAAAATCAGGGCTAATATGACAAATCTTAGCCTTCCCTGAGTGGCAGTCCTACTTAGACCATTTCCTATAAAATCGGTATAATATAGGTTAGGTATTCTATTTATTTTTTACATATCTGCATTATTTTTTGTCTAAACGATTTATTTTTCATCGTATGTGTATACTTATGTCTAGTTGTAAGATTACCTATACATAATGTTTGAGTATCCCGTGCTTTGTTAAGAAATGGCCGCACAAATATCTCTTTCTTTCTTTCTATAGTGTAACAAAGTGATATACGTGTGACGTTGTTGCGCAGACGAAGTTCTGTGGCGCCGCAAATGCCGGTGGGTGGTGGTAACGGCGGTGGCAGCGGTGGCAGCGGCGCGGGCCGCATGCGGCGCCCGTTCGGCGTGGCGGCGGCCGACATCACGCGCTGGCTGGCCGCCGACTGCCCTGACAAAGAGCTGCAGGTGCCCTTCTACCCGTGAGTACACACTGCGCCACTCGCGCCATGTCACATCTCATGTCTATGAGCGCTAATAATTGTACGTTCGCCAGATGTCGTTAGTTGAAACGTAAGATGAAATTATTTGTTTCGCAACTGGTCACACAGTGTCATCATTGAATACTTGTGATTTTTTTTAATGTTTCTATTGTATGTATACAGGATTATTTTCAAAGAGTAACCAAATTTTATACTTATGTCCAAATATAATAAAGAATGATATACCGATATTGCAGTTTTTGAAAATACGACTAAATAAGGCTTCTACTTTTTTTTTTGTAATTATCCCAAATTGAATGCGGTTTATGGGCAACAACTACACGTACGCGCGCTACTCTGTGTGCGATTCAATTCACGTTTTTGTCGATCGAAGGACCGTTACGAATGTGTGTGTGCGTAGTAAAATTGTAGGCATATTCACGAATGACAATCAGTTAAAATAATGAATTACCACGCATTCTGAATTTAAAATATAAAAAGGACCGAATATCCTGAACTTTTTCTGCGCCAACAAAGCAATGCCACAGTATTTGCTTTTTTTATTTTTTTACAGATTTTTAACTTTCTTTTAGATTCTTTTACTTTTACGAATATTCGTTCTTTGGTTTATCCAAATCTAATTAATATCAAACATAGCTTATATTTCAAAAAAACATCTCAATCTCTACATTTTTGTAACAGACTAACTTTCCTACTATGAAATCTATCAAATCGTCCCTAAGTAGCGCCGCACTGGTGGCAAAACAGTCTTGGATGACATTCAAAGGGTTTTACTATATTTTTACTCATGCACACATAACTGTGATAGAAGCCTGTATATCGGCTGTGTATCTTATGTTTTTTCATTTTTCATTATCGTTATAATATTGGACTGTAAGTGAGTTCGAAAGCTCGATTCGAAGAATAGAGGTGGTTTCGTAAATTGTAAGTCTATGGACTTCATATTATATTAAATAAGGTGGAGTAAATAGAACGTTAGCGTTCCGCCGAAGGCGGCGTTGCGTTCACTTGAACTTAGTTCGATGTGGAATTAAGAAGTCCAAATGTGATAAAGATTTTTGAACCACTCAAATTAAGTTGCTTCTCGGTGATATCAACAAAAGAAATATCCGAATAGGAAGCTGTAAAGCTTGGACAACCGTAATTTGAGTAGAAATTGTTAAAAAGGAGTTCATCTCCAGCGTGAACCACAATATAAGTACAGTTGTACTTCGAACATGACGATAAATGAAATATGTTTGTTTCAGTTGTGAGAAAGAAAACATGGAGACGTTACTGAAAAAAATAATATCGAATCGTGAGTTAAAAGATACGAAAAATCCGCTGGGCTTGTGGGTCTCTCTGCAACTCGTCGAAGGCGATATAAAGCAGGTGAGTGCCATGATGGTCATCCTTAGTTTATTATTCTGGATTAATTTTTCGACACGTAATTGTGTTAACTAATTATTTCAGTATTTTTAAGAACAAAAGAGTTCTCATATAAAAAAATGCTTACTGCGTAATGCAGTTTTACAGTAACGATCAAACCATGGTTGAGATCTGCCTCGGATGGATACCACAGATGAGGGAATAAGAAGTTTCATTCGCTGTACATCAGTGACAGAGTCAGCAACAATTATTTTTAAGGGTTCGACGGAAACCTGATATCCGTCCGGATGAGAGATCAGCAGAAGGTCCAATAGGGAAAGTGTATGATCTTCAATATATGAACCAAGACACTACGATTTCGTGACGGCCCGTTATGCACTTAAGCTATTACGATCATTATTGCAGTGTCAAAATTTGCCTTCTTATATTGTTATAGTTGATCGATCAATCGAAGAATCAATTTCTTGTGCCAAAAAGTTCGATTTAATCGATTAAAAATAACAGTTTTTCTATTCAAAACTTGCAAAACTGTTGTGTACTCAGTTTCTTTCGTCTCTTCAGAAATAGAAAAAATAAGTTACTTTGTAATCTATACTTTGTCTTATATTTTGATTACATCGTTGTCAACTAGATGGCACCACTTGGTTGTTATGTCGCGGTGTGGTTTGTGTTAATATAAAAATATAACTCCGAATAAGCTTACAGTCATTATAAAATTATAACTCCCAAGTTCAAATCTCATTATTCATAGATTTTTGAATACCTTTCTATTTGGAAGGACTACAATTTATTGGCGATTGGAAACGGTTAGAGTTAGGGATGGGTAATTAGTAGAATTAGAATAGAAATGTGTCCTACCAGGCTACTAGGTAGATTTGGTACTAGGTGCACCTAATCCAATTCCATAAAGTGTCAAGTACGCACAAAGTTTAGTATTGTTGGAATAGGATATAGGATGAACTTTAGTTTCAAGTATGCTTTACGTGCGTGCTGCTGAAACGTGTGCAATAATGAATTTTAATCTTCCCTTCATACTTTACACAGGCTTAGGACTGTCAACGTACTACACGTACGTATTTGTTGCACTTTTCGAGTTCCCAGCCTCGTTCTCCTGTCATTTAGCAATGTCAATAAGCCACATGAGGAAAATAATCTTTCACAAGGGACACTCGTGGCCATTGCATTCAACTTGGTGAGTGCCAGAGCATACAAATGCGGGTATACATCTTTCCGCTTTTTCCACCACTCTTGTGGTGACATATTCTCACATGGCAACACAATTTTATCGTCCAAATATCTTTGAACTTCTAAAATTGCTCGAGAAGCTGCCGTGCCCTTGGGTTGAATATTTTTCATTTTTTCTGCATAGTGCTGCCATACTAAATTAATTTGTGGCTGAGGTGGAGGATTTGCTTGATCCGATAGCTGCTGCTATTCATTTTGAATTTGGGAACTATTTCGATCCTCTTTATTAATAATAGACGTAATAAATTCTATCCTCTTTATTAATAATAGACGTAATAAGTTCTATTATTGTTTGTTTTGTAGTGTCAGCTACACGTTGATTTTCAAAATACAGTTTGAATCTAGGATCCAGAAACATACAGGTAGTATGTTTCTGGATCCTATGTAGTGGAGTAAATGTGCCTCTTTTATCTAAATTAATAAATCTATTTTTTATAGCGGCCAGCAAGTCTTGTCGTAATTTTTGGGCGGTGTCGAGGTATGCACTTGTGTTAATATTTTACAGAGATTTGACTAACCCTGTCGTTATAGTTATCACTATACTCCCTGTTACATATTTTTGAGCACTTACTTCCCTTGTAACTTCTTCACAGGGTTTTAAAATATTGCAAATGTGTTCACAAAGTTTCCAATCAACTGCAGTTAAGGACATATTATTAACGTTTGAGTTGGGGAGCGCACTATTAACTTGTTCTTTTAATTCTACAAACCTCTGCAACATGTAGAATTCCACCTCGTGCTTACACATTGCAGAGGTATTTTAGGAGCTTTTCCGGCCTGTTCCTGGTATTTTTTTAATTTTTCCTAGGCTAGAGCGGATCTTTTGAAGTAAGCAACAGTAGTTTTTACTTTATCAATCAGATAAAACAATTCTTGTGTCGCAGACAATCCTTCTTGGACAGCTAAATTTAGCGTGTGTAGCAATGAAAATGCTTCCAGCTTAAATTCATCATGGCATTTTAAATATTGGCGCCGTTATCCGACACTGCTAACAATATTTTTCTGGACACTTTCCATTCCTCCGTTATTTGTAACAGTTCCGTAGCTAAGTTGGCACTGGTATGTGATCCCCTCTAAAAGTACACAATCTAACAAGATTGATTTTAGGGTGCAGTCATTTTTATTGATATAATGACCGGTAATACCCATGTACGAGTCGTTTGTACTTGATGTCCATATATCCGCTGTGATAGAAATCGATTCTACATCATTTGCGTCTTCCGTCATTTTTGATGTTCGCAAACTTTTGTAGCGACTTGGCAATAAATTGTTTGCAAAGTATTTACGATTTGGAATAACATAAAAAGGAAAAGCAGACTGAATTAATTATCTAAAACCTTTGTCTTCTACAATACGGAATGGTTGAAAGTCCATAATAAATAAATCCATTATTAGCTTATCTATATCAGATTTACATTTATCAGCATTTTTTTATATATGTATGAAGCTATGGTTTATATTATTTGTTTATATTATATATTTATTATTGTTCACCTTCAGGTTGTTGAACTATTCCAGCAGATTGGTCTGATATTGGTGGTTGCTGGTTAGTCTGGGATGTTATCACTGGAGCTGGAACGTCATTTCTTCTAACTAAACTTACAAATGGATGTTTACGTTTAATGTGTTTTGTAAGGTTTGATATAGAACTTTTAAAACTCAGTTGTATTTTACAAATATTACACTCAAATTCAAATTCAAATTGTTTTCAATTTCACTCGGCCATTTGTTGCCCTTTGTCCGTAAAATAATCCCAAGCCACACTATTTACTCTGGGAGCCATTTTTTAAACAACAAACGCGTGAATGTTTCTGGTTAGTTTTCAAATAAATACTTTAATTTATCACGTACAAAACCAATACATAAAATAATCAAAATATGTCTCCTTTGTAGACACCTCTAAGAATAATTCTTTTTAAATGTTATTTATAACAATTATACAACTACAATTCTAAAAAAATATTATAATTATTCTCGTTACTAAATTACGAGGATTGAGATTAGATTATACGAGAAATAAATTAAGATAATTTACTTCAAAAGCTCTCATCCGCCATTAAAGTGGATGCGTCGACCGTCCGCCCATACATTTTTTAACCAAAATATACACTAAACACAGAAACTCTTTCTTTAAAACTAATCATTTTATCACTTCTCTACAATGAAATGTGTACGCGTCTGACCTTTATAGGCAATAACTTCATTATATACTGAGAAAAACAATAGTGAGATCCCGGAAAAATTTGACACTTCTTTAGTAGTGTGCGTGACTTTTGACAAGCAAACGAAATGCGACGTTTAAACATTGGCTTGCTAGATGGCATCCAAGTGATCTTAAATAATTCTGATAAATCAATATCTTAAGTTCAATAATTGGTTAATTTCCTTTCCAACCGTTAAAAAAACAGTATAAAATAACATAAAACTAATGACCTTAGACACCTATGTTTTTTTGTAAACAATTTTATTACTTATTATTGTTGTGTGGCAACATAAATACCAAAAGTCGTAGGTAAAGCGACGTTGCCGTCCTTCCTGACAACTAACTGATGAAATCTACGGTACTAACGTATTCCTGACCTTGAATTAACGAAACAAAAGCGTTGCCAAACTTACGTACGTTCACTTGTTTGACTTGTTATAAAATATAATATTCTGATTTCGGTTGTCACGCGCTATGATTTGCGCGCGGAATTTCTTGTGTATTATACATATTTTGTATATATGTTTTCATTGATTCGAATTGCAATATTTCTCTAGTTTATATTTGAGACTATATTGTAATTTATCGTAGGTATAGTAATTAATTATTCTAAAAACGCAATTATGTTTTCGGTAGTATTATTAACAGCAAGCTGGCCTGGTTTTGCCGAGTTACATTAAACAACCTTTACGCATTTTGCAAACAGTTTCAGACAGACACACATTATTAGTTTGTTATACTTTGTAGAGCTCAAGTTCACTCGTCACTACGTCATACCTTATGGTGCGTTCAGAAACAAATATAATTCAGTTCCATAAAATCCTTTTATCTCTTTCGTGCTTTATTGTTTATAAATAAATAGCTTATTCTAATCTGAGTTATATTTTTCTTATTTATCGGCCAATTCTACCAGGAATATAAAGATAACATTGAAATAAAAAGATAAGTATATTTTTGTACATTTTTAGTGTTCTAGATCTTGTGTTCCGAACGCAACCCTATTCATATAGAATTGAAGGAAGATTTGTATATATTATATTGTATAGTACCTGGATGACCGAGCATTTCTCGGTATTTTTTTTTGGAAATCGTGTGTTTTGGAAGTTATATTTAGATTGAAAATACATACTGATAAAATATAAAAGAATATTTTTTGATCTTACCGACATAATAGAAAAAAAATGAACTGGTTATTAAAATGAAAAATCATGAGTGCAATAAAATTTTCTTATTTTTATAAAAAAACTACAAAAAATGACTCGAAATAATAGATTTTCTCACAAAAGAAGGGAACTATAAAAAGAGGGAAAAAAGTCAATCCTAAGAAGACGCGAACCAGGGAACTACGATTTCGCGACAGTGCGTTATCCACTTGAGCTATTACGATCATTATTATAGTGTTAAAATTTATATATATATATATATATATATATATATAACACGTAACATAATTAACGCACTTTGAGAAAGTAGTTTGTTCAGAATCGTTTACTGAATCGATTTCTATCATTTTTAATATAGGTAATTTTTATCCCAAAAATAATTAAAACTACGT